TGTCCTGACAGAAAAACTAACTCGGCCCCCAGACATCTTGCCTGCCAGATTTTTTGCCAAGTTGGACTGGAACAAATTCACTCCACACATGTTGAATCCACACATCTTCCATCGTTGTCCATGCACTCTGTTCCTGGGCCCAAATGAGAATGCCCCTCAGCCCTTTCTACGGTATTATATAACCTTCTAATGCCCCGCTTCGTTTTTCCCAAATTCTCCGTGATTCATCGCATGAAGTTCGAGTCAATGTTTCTATTCACGTGAATAATTGTGCTTCACACAAAGTTTGACTATCAGCCTTTTTCTGTAACTCCCGTGACGTTCAGACTCAACAATCCCCGTGCCGTCCCAGTTAGAGTCAAAATTTTCCACTCACATTTATTACTGACGTCATCTGTCCGGCATAAATTAACTGGGAGAAAATGAGATTCACTACACTAAGTAATAAAGTTAACATCATCTATTCTCAGAAGGTAAAGTGAACCGCCAAACTAAAGACTAAGAGAATTATTATCTATCCAATATAAAACAATAATAAAGATTTTGAACTAACTGCAAGCTAGTTGTTAATTAAACAAAGTGTCATACAAGTGTTAATTCCTCTGAAAATAATGAATAACAAACATCATCATCCTACTGTGCCATTATAAGTCTCCCAGGGTTTGCATTCTGGTCTTCTATCTGTTTGTCCTTTGCCGTCATTGATATCATAGATTGAATCAGTCCACCTTTGGCCTTTCTCAATATTATTACTCTCAGTGTTGCTCTTGAACATCCACATTTCCTCAGTACAACTGTTTCCTATTTCAACGCCTGTTTGGTGATTCTCTGTCCATTTCTCCTCAAGATGTGCCAATTACATTGCCATTTTCTTTGTCGTTTAACCGATGATACCAGCTGTTGTCCGGACGTTTTTTTGTTGTTGTTGCTTCACCTTTCTTGAATTCATCTCATTTAATGTCATCAGTTTCCCCAGGTGTGTGAATATAAAGCACAGCTAACACAATCCAAGAATAATATGACCAAGGAAAATCGGATTCAAGATGAGTCCTGTTTCTTCAAGCATAATAGCAGCAAACCAAACCGTAATGGGAGCAAACCAGGCTCTCCTTTAAATAACGGTCGCTAGCTGGAAAGCTGACGGTCGCTTAGTCGGAGTGCACTCCCTTGGCTGCATTGCAAATACGGAGCGTAAAGAGGGAACGAAACAAATGACATACTTACCTGTCTTCATACGGTTGTGTAGGGTTAGGGTTAGATGTGAAAATTTTGACGCAGGAGTTCCAAATAATGGCCGACAATCTGATGCTTGTGGGAGTGGCGCCACTGGAATTCTCCTACATATGACGGCAATAGCGCGCAGCTGGTGCCCAATTGATGGCAAATTGTCCGTTTGAGTAGCATCCACAGTCCTTCAATTGTTTGGTAGTGTATGTCACTGTGCGCGATTATTTGGAACTCCTGCATCAAAATTTTCACATCTAACCCTAACCCTACCCTACCCCTAACCACGCAAACTTATAGGTCATTAAGGCATACAGATCTGCAGGAGTCACATCCGTGGCAACTAAGTCGTGCGTCGCAAGAACGTGGTTGCTAATGTGAGTCGGAGCTCGATGTCCAACTGCCATGTTGACCTTGTTTTTGATTCGCGACTTTTCCACTCCGTATTTGCAATGCAGCCAAGGGAGTGAACTCCGACTAACCGACCGTAGCCATCCAGCTAGCGACCGTTATTTAAAGGAGAGCCGCAAACCAAACCGTAATGGGAGCAAACCAAAGCCATGGGGGTTAAAAAAAAAAACAGCACATAGCTCACAAAGAAACGAAATACAAAATGTATCTAAAAATATAATGCAAACTTTATCTATGGAGCTGAGCAACAGTTTATTATCTGACTGTACACCGTGACCACCTGGTCAGTTACATAAAAATACAATGATAAACTGTCTACTTACATTCACATACATATGAGGTAGCTGTGTTGTGAGCAAAGTGACGGAAGAGATGACGTTACTCACAATTTACTGCCAGATACGCACAGACCGAAAATACTTACTACCCCACACATGTATAATAAATATTTATTACCGTACACACACGCAAAATATCCATGCTACACACACAGACACTCATTTCCACCATTCAAGCAAAATGAAAGGACATGCTCAAACCCAGCCCAAATCAGAATCTGGTAAAAGTAATGTTAGTCTCCCAAGATCCTGCCCATATACACACTTGCTCACTTCTGACTGGTAGTTCCTGAGCCCCGTAACCTTTGCACAAGGTTAAGAGGGTGTTTCGTAATGCCGATGATATTGAGTGTTGTATATTTCAGCATGCCAGCGCTTTTATCACTCCAAAAACATGGAGAAACTGGCTCTAACAATACCCCCCTAGAGAGTGCTGCAACCTATGTCACAGGCATTCTCTTTCTCGGAATGAAAACATAAATGCAAGATATCACAGAAACCAAAACAACAGAGCGGGACACACCCGTAACCTTCAGGAAAGTCAACCAGCCCAACAAACTTGTGAATGAAAAGCAACCTACTCTATTTGGGGAGACTAACATCAAACTAACCCAGAATCTGATTTCTACACATTGATTTCCACACCATGCATCAAGATTAGCATCAGACAGTGCGCCACAGAGAGCCCTATCACTGAGAGTATTAGACATAACGGAAGCCGGCAAGTAACGGGTAGATGGAATATTCAAGGCCATAAAAACCAGCATCTCCCTAGCACATACCAAGGCTCACACCCAAAGCCTCCTCTGCAAATGCTGAAAGGCAGAACAAGACTACAGAAGAAGGAGAAGATTCCTAAACTGTGCCAGTCTACCCACCATGAATGCCCCAATTTGTTTGAACTTTGTTCCTCTTGACTTCAATAAACCTTGTAGTATCACTCCTGACTGAAAATATTTCCATTTTAACACCACATGATCATCTTTCCACTCTTCTTTAACATTCTAGGCCCTTGAAGTTCACTGCTGAATGGTCTCCAGGTATGGTGTCCTCATGTGCTAGAGGTCCTGGGTTCAGGCCCATGTGGACTTCTAGTAATTTCCCCTGGTCTCTGGGGTAGTGAGATTGGATGCCCGTGTGTATTGCTGTGCACGTAAAAAAAAACTCCCCTGGCAGTTGGAAATCGAAAAAGAGTAGCCTAACGGCTCTGCCCGGGCAAAATTTGGAGTTAAAAATCTAACCACAGTATTTCAGGATCCTTGCCGGTGCTACGGAGCTTGTGCACTGCGATGAGCTACTTCGGACTCAGATTTGAGTTAGAGGTGCCCCTGGCTCGTGACGATCCCAAATATCAAACTTCTGGCCCCCGAGTGAACCTAGTCGAACAGCCCTGGTCTAAAGCATGACCTCTAAACAAGGAAACAAATCACTGCATCTTATAAATATAAAAAAATTGACAGGTAACAAAACAATCTGTCAACATAAACTATCAAATGTACAAAATGAGTAGGAAAACAAAAACAAAAATATTGTAAGACCTTCAGGTGGATCCCCGTGGACATAGAATATTCTGTCCAATGCCACAAGGGACAACAATACACTATTTTCAACAGATGATGCCTTTTCCTGATCATTGAACATGCCTGGCAGGCAACGGAATCAGTAGAGAAACAAAATTATTACGGGCTGGAGAGAATGAGGCACCTGGGTGTAACCAGAGGGTCTGGCCGGCTCACTACACTCAGAGGAAAGACAAGATGGACCTATAACCAGATTGTGACCGGTTCCATCAGTATTGGAACTTTGCGCTGGCTGTTGAAGATGAGGATAGAACACATATGGGAATGCCCAGAGTGCTGTGATTATCAATTCTGGAATCAACTTAACATGCCTGGATTAATCATTTCACAATCACTAATCCATGATGTAGCTCCCCTAAACATATTACAAAAAAAAAAAAAAAAAAAAAACACTTCTTGCATATATTTATATACATATATATATTATATACTGTGTCCCATAAGTTTGCATAAATAAGAAAAATTAACACTGTTGTAAAAACACATTTTGATGCCTGTCCTCCTCTGCGGAAGAACATGTATAAGCACAGATGGATTTGTGCTTGCAATGGTGTTGGTGATATATTTATTTTCCCTATGTATAGAAACCGATGGGACAGCCTGTAAGTTGATGGGTATACAGATATCTGATTTGATCTTGTTAATGAGACTGAGATTTCTCGGTGCACTTTATTTACATATTACTGAGACCTGAATAAATGAATTCTTATGGTATGTATATTTCTGGTGGGGGGTAACAGTTATTCTGACTACTCCAAGTGGAAGTTCCCAGGGCATATTTGAAAATGGGGGGGGGGGGGGGGGGGGTGGAGAAGGGATAGAACAGAAAAGACTCATTACTCCCTTTACAAGAACCTCATAAATTAGAAGTTTGCTGAAATCAGATGTTTTACAGTAAAGGGTGCAGATATTGCAGTCTAGCTGCAAACCACAACAGAATGTGCCAACGACCCCTTTTATGTGTGAACAAAGGTGTAGAAAACACTCACTGCAATGTAAATCCTGCATCTGATTCCTTCTAAAGTGTTTCACCAATGTTGCTGTATGTAACTAATGAAGACACATGTGTGAGTTGCATGAGTCCAATTAGGCTTCAGTTTGATAATTAACACACACAACAAATGTTTTCTTGTCAAATATGATAAATTACAGCTTATTCTGTATGTCTGGGGCCAAAAGATGCAGATAGCCTAGCTGCAAACCACTACAAAGCATGCCGACCTTTCTTAAGGGTGAATGAACATGAAGAAATGTATACAGTGACAAAGTAAATGCACTGTGAGCTATGACTGAACCATCCAGACTGCAAGAGGGCAGACTGGTCCTACCAGCTTCTGCAATGTTCTAATGATCATCAAATGATGTTTATGAGTGAAAGCCCGAGGTGGAATAGGGGGGGGGGGGGGGGGGGGGAAGAACTCCCCCAATGTTCTTGAATACTGTCAGATCAGAGGGTGTTCTCCTGCAGGCAGCTACAGCCGCAGCCTGTGGGACAAACTGTGTAAGAAGTGAACCAGATCATCATGTGTGCGGTGTGGCCTCCGTGTCCACAAGCCAGGCATAGGTTAGCTGTACCTGAAACATACAACAGATCATCTGAGCTTTGTGACAAACACACAATTATTGGGGTTGAATCAGCACAATAAACCAAAATAAAAACGGCTGACTAATGCGCTATTCTGACCCGATTTGAACTATCCATGCCAGACATGACAGTCCTAGGAAGACATAAATGCAAAATTACAAAATGTGAGATGAGATGTAGAAGAAATGCTGGGAGAAAGAAGTTGAGACAGTCGCAAATGAAAAAGTAAGAAAAATAATAAGACATAGTACTAGTCAATGATTTCACAGAACATCACAGAATCAAATGGTTTGGTCATCTCATCAGAATGGAACACAATCAGCCAGCATCTCCAGCGTACTACATGAGAACAGCAGGCTACAAAGCAAGAGGGCTGACCAAGAAAGAGATAGGTGGAGGGAGTAAGAGAGTCACTACAGGAAAGTAATATGACATTAACACAATCTATGCAACTAGCAGCAAAGAACAGGACCCTACATAAAACCCCCTTATTCAACACTTTTCAGCATTTGAAAAAAAAAAGAATCTGCACTGGGCGGATTTTTGGTAAATGACTTTGGCTCCCAGGGAGACCAAGACCAAAATGGGTAACAAGAAATCACATGGGAAGAAAAGGCAGCCAACATAAGGCTGGCCACATCACTCACTAAGTTCCGATCAGTCTGCATAAATATAAGTTTAGCACTATCTGCCTGATGCGCCACTGGTGTGATAACGGTCCTTTAATTACAAACACAAACACAGTTTGTTCAGAAAAGGCCATGGGCTATCCGTAACATACAATTTATACCCATTATTGTTCAGTCCTGCCTCTTTCAAAACATCTGGGTTACTCTTCTTAGCATCCAAGGAATTTTACAGAAGAATCCTTAGAGCTAAGAAGGGTAAACCAGATGTTTTGAAAGTAACAAGTGCTTGAAGAAAACTTATCACAAACATCAGAAAGAGACAGTCACAATTTTTTGGTCCCGTTATGAGAAGGAAAAATGGAACATGTGACCGCTGGAAAGAGAGACAAGGGAAGACAGCGTGAGAAGATTCTTGACAACCTTTTATCATGGCATGGAGGGGTGTCAACACACAAACTGATACATGCAGTTGCGGATCACAGATTGTGGAGAGGCATGATCGCCCACGCCAGTTGGCAAGGCACTTGATGATGATGATGATGATGTATGTAGATCTCCAAATGTATACGGGCTTTAGATCAATCCAGCCTCATAAGGTAACTGAATACCAGAGATGAGAAACATCTCCTGATAAATGTCAATACAACCTGGCATATTTTAACATTCACCAATGTAGCTGCAGTTCTTGTAATCAAAGAACGAATCATTTCCCACATGAACCATTGCTCCATTAACGTAATTTCAACTGAGTAATTCAATTTTAACCATCTCACACCACATATATTGAAACAATGGGTCAGGGAATTTCAGAAATAAATTATAAAAACAAACACAAATTTTATACAAGTCGCTAATTTAACCCTTCACAATATATTTATCAACATAAAAGAAAAAAAAAAGACAGATGTTAGCCATAAACTAATTAGAAAAATGAGACGAAGGCAGTCAGTGTTTTTATTACGTTATGAGAAGGAATCAACAAGAGAACTTGGTGACAGCTGGCAAAATTGAAGAAAAGAGAGCAAGAGGAGGGTTAGGTTAGTTGCGCATACTTTACAGGACGTTGCAGAACCAACCCCAACAGCCACTGTTGTGTGGTTTTTCTAGGCAAATTTACGTCCACTAGTTTGCCATTGCTTCTAGACGGTCGGCTTTCTTGATACCACTGTCAAAACCAGCGCAAGGCCCATGGCCTGCAGCTGGGATCGAACCCGGCATTACGAAGCATTCACATCGACTTAGCCACACTGCTGACAAGAGGAGGGTAAACGGATAAATATCTGGATGGCTTGGTCACATGGAGGGGGTAAGACAGTAGTAAGACAAGAACACTGACCTGATCTGTGACCATGTGAGATGGTGCTTATCCGCTTGGCACAAGATAATGATGATGTCCTTTGTCGCACACATACAAAACACAAACCCAGTATTTAGTGGTTGCAAATGCCACTTTACTAGCCAACTTTTAGATTCTGTAATTTGCTGTTGCTTTCTGAATAGCAGATCACTCATGTCATTTAAAAAGATTTGATGGAAAGCAGTCTGTTACCAAATTGCCTGCAACTGACTTTAAAACCTGGTATGCCGAAGTATAAAACTTTTCATGACCCTAAACCACAGACCCCCTGTGGGTCTGTGGACCCCATTGTGGGGACAATAAAAAAAGACCCACTGCCTCCTCAAGAAGCATGTTCTCAGAGTCGACCAACTGGGAGCTTCCTTCGAAGTCGGAGTGCATCTGCCTGAGAGGCAAGGAACCAACAATTTATGCACACTTAAGCCAGATCGATACATGCAACAGTCAGGTTCTGGAGCAAGAATAAAGCCCAGAGGTGGACGAACAGCCATAGCTGGAGTTTACAGCCAGTGAACGCCAAGAAGAAGAGATTACAGACAAAGACATTCAGGGTATTCTCACCTCTGACACCGATGTGACATATGGAACACCTCAGAGCCGGATACCTGCACCTGTTACACTGGACCCCTCTGACTTCTTCTGAGCAATTACAGCAAGTCACTGGGAACTCTGAAAGTCAATCACAAATTTGCTAGAAATTACAAGTTGTAACAAACAGGAAAACACTGCTGCAAATTATTCAAGGAAATCTCATATTGTAAGCTGTAATGCGATAGTGGCTAGTGACTGCTTACCAGCTGTAGTTCTGGTATTTTCTTAAACATTAACACTTTTACTCCAGAGAGTTTAAAAAAAGCTAGTAATGAACCTAGGAATTCTTGAAAGACATTTTTTTAAAACAGCTATTTGACACAGGTTACTAATAAATAATGTTTTTATTGTTTAGTTGACTAAAAAAAAAAAAAAAGTTGAAAAAACTAAATAAATTACTCAGGGACTCTTATCATGACGCCCAACACCTTGTACAAATTCTAACACTAAAGCTACCGGCAAACCATGATATTCACAAGAACCCCTGACCCATACTCCCCAACTGTCAATTTTAGTTTGTATGTCCAGAATTTCTAAACATTGCACAGACACAAACACAGCCAAATGTTAACTAGGCTTCTCTGGGACAGCAGAATTGCCAGGTAAGTGACATTTACGGGAATGGGTCACAGACAGAAATGTTGGGTTCACAGATTCTCAGGGTCACAGAGATAAAACACGTCACAGGCAAAAATACCTTGTGTATTTACACGGTGAGAAGAAGAAAAGCTAATATACCACAATAACTTGTGCAATTAACTGAGAAAGAGAAAGAAGATGGTTAAAAGAAAAACAGAACCGACAGATAGTTAAGTCAGAGAACATCTGTCTGAGAGGCTAGAAACTAACAGTGCATAAAAACAAGCCAGATCTGTAAAACAAGACTTGCAAAAACATTACAATTCTGGAACAAGACCAAGGTTCAGAAATGAATGAACAACCAAAATTTTCCATGAAGCTGGAGAACTCTTAAAGGAACAAAAAAAGAAAGGAATCTACAGGAAGTAAAGTTTACACAAGTTCATGCCAAAGTCGAACACAGACCTCTCAATGAACTATTTTTTAACAAAACTGGTCATGCCCCATGTGCCCTCCCTGCAGAGGGTGGGGAACCTGGCTACATTACAAGACAAGCTGTGGGGGACCGGTGCTGACCCCAGATGCACCATAGTGTTTGTGATTGAGATGGACTGAAGTGGTTCAGCATGGCAGACGTCAAATGCAGAAGAGGACAGATACACACGGATGAAAGAGAAATTAAAGCACAAGCCCTTCCCGGCAGGGGTTCTAGGAGTTATGAGTTGTATGATCTTCACAGCACTCCGGACACATCCATAGGTGCTCAGATTCCCCTCTCAACATATTCATCAGCGTTGCGAGGTTTTATTAGTGCCAGTCCTATACTGGTTGACAAGACTTTGTATGCGTCCGGTGTGCTTCTCATGCCTATCCGATCTTTACTCCCAATTCTCATATTCATAACAGTGATGAAGACATGTTGCTTCCAAAATCCATGGAACTGCCTTTCTCTCTAAGGGCACTGACAATGTCTGCGTTATCCATGGGTGAGCTATCTTCAAGTAATGTGGCACCTGCCAGTCTATCAGCTTTTTCATCCCCAACAACACCTGCATGCCCTGGGAGGGTTCCAGGAGCCCCACTGTGAAGGGAAATAAAATATAACCGCCCCCCCCCCCCCCCCCCCCCCCCCCCCCCCCCCCCCCCCCAACAAGCATGCAGAAAAAGATGACTAAATTAGGTGTGATTCCTTCAAAGTCAGAGTGCATCTGCCAGAGAGACAAGGAACCAGCAGTCTGCATTTAAATAAGCATGATCTGTAAAATGGATCTGCAAGCAAAAACTCAAATTCTTGAACAAGAATAATGTCCAGAAGTAGGCAAACAATCGGAATTTTCCACCTGAATTTACAGCCGACGGAAGTGAAGAAGAAGAGAAGAAACAGAAGAAGACACTGACCAATGATGCTGCTGTCTGCCTCTGTGATATCTGTGTACTTCAACACTTGAGTTCTCTCATTGAGCAGGCCCCACTTGAAGAGAATCTCAGCATATGCCTGCTTCATCTGCTCGTGCTGAAGCTTCAGTTCAGGATCCAGCATTCTAAATGGTCAGGGAAAGAAAACTCTCATAATAAGTATCTCTATCGTAATCGTCAAACCAAACAAACATTTAAAATTTTGTCCTCTTTCAGCTGCCTGAAGGCCTGCTTTATTGAAGATGGTTCCTTTGCTATCTGATTTAAATTTGTTTCGGTGTGGCAATCATTTTTGCCTAAGTTAAATTGTTTTTGCTGCTACATGATGTCTGCGCGGTCAGGCTTGGCAGGCGGTTTCCAGTTTTTTTGGGAGTGGATCTGGCAGCCCTAAAAAGGGCTGCCATTTTTTTGCCTGGAAAGGGAAACATTTGAGATACAAATTCTATTATTTAAAAAAAATAACCGTTACAATTAGTACCTGTTGTTACACTCTTTTTCTTCTGCCTTTCTAGCCCCCCAATGGAGCAAAGGCCCTCAAACAACTCACGCCAAGTCGTTCTATCCTTTGCTATCGCATGCAGCTCTCCCCATGTCCGCTGCATCTTTCCAACTTCATTCTCCAGCTTTCTTCTACATGTGTTTTTTGGCCTTCCTTATTCCTATGCACCTGTGGGTTCCAATGCAAAGACATTATAGTTATAATGTTGCCTGGTTTTCTCAATGTGTTTCATATCCAACACCAGCGTTTTTTCTTCACCTCTTGGTCCACTGGAGCATGCTTTGTTCTCTCATTTAATTCCCTCTATTCTGCGCAGGCACCAGTTAATGAATATTTGCAGTTTATTAGTAATTGCTTTAGTTGTTCTCCATGTATCCGCCCCATAAAAAAGTACTGATTTGATATTGGATTTACAAATTTAAGTTTAGTATTTCTTTTGACCTCCACAAATTCCCTAGTGCTATGAAAGCTCTTTGTTATTCACTGCCTTGAAAAAACAACAATTTCATGATTATCAAGAATCAGGGCTTGATTTCTGCAGCAGATGGTTTAATAATAATTTAACAAATGCTTTTGTGTTGTTTTTTTTTTTTTTTACTGTGTTACAAAACTTGCATTGTGAGTGTTAAAAAAATATTTATCAAACAATTGATAACAATTGTATTTAACTATAAAAAAAATTAACTATTATGTATCACAAAATAAAAAAAATAATTATGTAATATAAAATTAATAAATAGATACATAAGTATATATAGCACACAATACCCAAAAAATATGTAGCACACAATAATAAAACAAAAATTTTTAAACTTACCACAGAATAAAATTTTTAAATAAATTATGTACCAAGCAATACAAAAAATGTATCATAGATTTTTTTAAACAAACATTTATGTCTCAAACAAGTAATTTAAAAAAAAAATTTATAATAAAATTTAAAAACAACAATTATGTGTCATAAAATTTTTAAAAAAAAATTTCATTTCTGTTTTAAAAAAATGAAATATACAATTTAACACACACAAAAACACATGCATATATAAGTGATTTGGTCTCAACCTACTTGCTGTTACTGTGGTGCTGCCTGCGTTCTTTCTCTATCTCCTTCTCCCTGGGGTCCTTCTCCTCTATGACCTTGAAATCATCATATGACTCTGACCAGCTCTGTGATCTCTTACTTTTCATTACAGCTGTAGACACAATGATTGTAACACACCACAATCAATGTTTGTAACACACCACAATCAATGTTTGTAACAAGGAAGAAACATTTTATAATAGCAAAAACAGTGAGTGTAATAAATAAATAAATAAATTTTAAAAAAAAAAAAATCACATAATAGTGGGTTTTAAGAAGGGAAAGCATAGAAATGATTCTAAATCACAAAATTTCCAGAGATTCAAGGCAAACATTTATGCAGTAAAATGGGCTGTAATAATGTTTAGCTTTACAAACTGTAACATTTGTAAATTTACTCCTGCATGTGAAAGTTTTAAAGCTACTTTATTTCACTGAAGCACAGAGCTTTTATTTAACACTGTAATGAAAACAGTTACTACTTTCTGGCACCAAAAATGGTAAATCACTAATGTTTTTCAAAGAATTCAACAGCTAGATTCCAGGTATTATCCAAGCCCCCACCCTGGTTTTTGCAGGGGGCCCTGAATACAGCTGGGCAACAAATGTGGCCATAAAGGCTGAAATGGGTTTCTGGGACCTCTCCATGGGTGATCCTCATCCGCATGGTGGCACTTTGCATCACCGGATGTTTATCGCTTGTCCGATGTGGGATTAATGTGGAAAAAACTATTACTCATCATATGTTATGTGGGACTGAAAGAGTAATTTTATGGTGCATTGCTGTACTTTTTATCAGACATTCGGCGGTGAGTACCAGCACCTTTTAAAGCCCTGCAGTGATTATCTGACCTAAATCTACCTCAGTCTCTCATCAAGGTGGTTTCTTTCGTCTTCAAATCTTACTTTGGGTCCCAGGTGACCCAGTCTAAAATGGGTGATGTCCTGGGAAGTAAAAGTGGCTGGCATGATGTTAACTACACCACCCATCAAGTGCCAGTTAACTACACCACCCGTCAAGTGCCAGTTAACTACACCACCCATCAAGTGCCAGTTAACTACACCACCCGTCAAGTGCCAGTTAACTACACCACCCGTCAAGTGCCAGTTAACTACACCACCCGTCAAGTGCCAGTTAACTACACCACCCCAAGTGCCAGTTAACTACACACCTGTCAAGTGTCAAGTGCCAGTTAACTACACCACCCGTCAAGTGCCAGTTAACTACACCACCCGTCAAGTGCCAGTTAACTACACCACCCGTCAAGTGCCAGTTAACTACACCACCCGTCAAGTGCCAGTTAACTACACCACCCGTCAAGTGCCAGTTAACTACACCACCCGTCAAGCCAGTTGCCAGTTAACTACCCACCCCCGTCAAGTGCCAGTTAACTACACCACCCGTCAAGTGCCAGTTAACTACACCACCCGTCAAGTGCCAGTTAACTACACCACCCGTCAAGTGCCAGTTAACTACACCACCTGTCAAGTGCCAGTTAACTACACCACCCGTCAAGTGCCAGTTAACTACACCACCCGTCAAGTGCCAGTTAACTACACCACCCGTCAAGTGCCAGTTAACTACACCACCCGTCAAGTGCCAGTTTAACTACATCACCTGTCAGTTAAGTGCCACCTGTCAAGTTAACTACACCACACCTGTCAAGTGCCAGTTAACTACACCACCTGTCAAGTGCCAGTTAACTACACCACCCGTCAAGTGCCAGTTAACTACACCACCCGTCAAGTGCCAGTTAACTACACCACCTGTCAAGTGCCAGTTAACTACACCACCTGTCAAGTGCCAGTTAACTACACCACCCGTCAAGTGCCAGTTAACTACACCACCCGTCAAGTGCCAGTTAACTACACCACCCGTCAAGTGCCAGTTAACTACACCACCCGTCAAGTGCCAGTTAACTACACCACCCGTCAAGTGCCAGTCAAGTGCCAGTTAACTACACCACCTGTCAAGTGCCAGTTAACTACACCACCCGTCAAGTGCCAGTTAACTACACCACCACCACCTGTCAAGTGCCAGTTAACTACACCACCCGTCAAGTGCCAGTTTAACTACACCACCCGTCAAGTGCCAGTTACACCCAAATAGTGCCAGTTAACTACACCACTGTCAAGTGCCAGTTAACTACACCACCCCGTCAAGTGCCAGTTTAACTACACCACCCGTCAAGTGCCAGATAACTACACCACCCGTCAAGTGACAGTTAACTACACCACCCGTCAAGTGCCAGTTAAATACACCACCTGTCAAGTGCCAGTTAACTACACCACCCGTCAAGTGCCAGTTAGTCTATAGGCACTCTATGCCCGATGTTCCAAAGGGTCCTTTCTATACCTACTTCAGTTGTGCGCACATGGGAAAGAAAACAACAGAACAGTTTAAACAGTTACTCATTAAAATATAACCAATAAAGTAAAGAAAACTGAAAAATATAACACCATTTAAAATGTAACAATTTCAATGTTATAACTGTTAACAAACAGAATGTGGCTTCTCCTTCTCACCCAAGTTAATAATAATACAACTGAAAATGTAACAATTTCAATGTTATAACTGTTAACAAACAGAATGTGGCTTCTCATTCTCACCCAAGTTAATAATAATACAACTGAAAATGTAACAATTTCAATGTTATAACTGTTAACAAACAGAATGTGGCTTCTATTCTCACCCAAGAAAATAATAATACAACTGAAAATGTAACAATTTCAATGTTATAACTGTTAAGAAAGAAAAAAGAAAACTAATGAGCTGGAGAGGAAACTACTCAAAAGAACCAAGCAAGCATGCCAATGCAGCAAATGTGGGAAATAAAAACAAGCAAATAAGGTAACGGTCTAGCAAACGAGGCTGACAAAACGCACAAGTTATTTCTATGTACAACACATGCACAAATGACAAGACATCTGTTGCTGAATCCAGGTCCTGAAATATGGATTTTATCTCACATGTTTAGTTCTGTATTAGTCAATTCTGTTTCCAGTGCTACAGTGGTTAATTGTGACTGTTAAATCAACGGTTAATTATAATTTTCATTCTTTAACTCTTTCAGTCACTTGTTACTGTAGCCTCTTTTATCCCAAACAATTCAGCATAAAAACTTGCCTGTGCGGATCCTGGATCCCAATTTGAAAGAGGAAAAAGAATAGACTCCCTGTCACCCCCCCCCCCCCCCCCCTCACCAAAGGGGTGTTTCCTTCAGAGTGCATCTGCCTGAGAGACGAGGAACCAGCAGTCAGCTTACAAATAAGCAACATCTATAAAAAGAAGGTGCAGGCAAAACTCAAGCCCTTGAACAAGACTAAAGTCCAGAAGTGGACAAACAACCAGAACTTTAGACCAGTGTACAACAGGTGAATATGAAGAAGAAGAGATTTGAAAAAAATACACACAATAAATACATTAAGTCTGAAGAAGTTCAACAGAAACACAAGGGGACAGAACCAGTAAAACTAACAATCAAGACGAAGAATTAATGTAATGCCTATCTGTGACCGCAGACAGCAAGAAAATTACATAATCACTGGAATGACAATGGAACATTTGGCGAGTCTTTTGGTACTGAAAAGTAAAGTAAAGGACCCTTTTCCACACCTTCAGACTTATTGGGTATATAGGGCTAGACCTATATTCTATAGACGAAACAGCACTTGGTGAGTGAAGTGGTCAGCATCATGCCAGCCACCTTTACTTCCCAGGACTGTATCTGGTACCCACTCGAGGCCTTTGGTACTGAAAGAGTTAGTTAATGGTTAATAGATGTTCTCAGTTCCTGAAGCAGTAACCGAGAACCGAAAAAAAGAACCTGCGGTAAAATCAACACTACTCACATGCTCTGCTTTTCTTCCCACAACAGACTGATGATGATGATATTATACGTTTAAGTCAAATCTACAACTTAACCAACATTAGGCTTGGTCCATCTCTATTCATATAACAAAGTGGCATTTTTTATTATCATTATTTATTAATGTCAAACCTACCACTTAACTTTGGTCTGTATATTCTTACAACAAAAGATTTTATTTATCAATACATGTTTATGCCAGATCTACAACTTAACCAACATTAACCTTGGTCTGTCTCTATTCTCACAAGGTGTTATTATTTATCAACATATGTTTATGTCAAATCTACAACTTAACCAACATTGAGCTCGGCCTTTCTCTATTCTTACAAAAGGTGAATTACTTATCAACATATGTTTATGCCAAATCTAGAGCTTGAACATTGATTGTTGTCTGTTTCTCCTTCCACAACAAACTTACGAACGAACTTTAACCTCAGTCTTTACTGCATCATAGCTTTCATCAAGGCAACGGGCCTCCAGATATAAGTTCTCTGACAGTAGGATCAAAGAAGACTAAGAAAATCTTGGCCTGTGTTGTCAAACAACAAGCTATTAATGACGTACTGTTACGCAGATCCACAGTACCATGACATATATTTACAATACTTTATTAGTTAGTAGGCCTCTAACTAGCGAAATAAAAATAAAAAAATAACGCATCCACAATATTTATAGTATGCCCTGATGGGAGGAAGCAAGTCTAGATCTAACAATGGTGATCTCAAGTTGGATATTTTGGCTTATATGAACAAATATGCTTAAATGAATGTAGCACTAGTAGTATCCCCTTCAAGGTGAAAAAGGACAAGTCATTATCCCATGAACTACTATCATATTCCCAAAGACGAATATAAAGTCCAGAAGGATCAACTCCACTGCCCTGGGTTCTCCCATTCGGCTGTGTCTCAATCCCCAGAATGGCTAGCTGCCTCCTGAGAGCAGCAAACAAAGCACAAACTTCACTGCTACCAGTGATGATCTCTAGGGATCTCCTAGAACTGCATTCATGAACTGAATGAAGCATCATGAAATGAACCCATAACGAGGCCCCGGAGACCCCCATACATATAACCTAACAGGGAATTATGTTATATTCAGATGAGGGACAGGGCACAATGCACTTCGTCAACATATGTTCAAACTGTTTAGTGTAGGAATCACGGGGAGGTGTCCCAGTAACTTAGCACCACAAAATGCTGAGCACATGCTTCAACACTGTAAACTGAATGCTGCCAACTGA